CCAAACTACGTCCCAAATACGAAGGCCCCTACCGTGTCATCGAGCGCACCTCACCCGTCAACTATCTGATCGAACCCGTTGAACAATCTTCGGACATGCGCCGCCGTGGGCGAGACATCGTCAACGTGGAGCGCCTGAAGGCTTATTATGACCCGCTCATAATAACAAGCTGTTAGGTCGCGAGGCGGCTCCCTCTTCGACCCCGGGGTAATTGTAGCGAAGCCTCCGAACTATGAAATGGGTCGAACTCTTGAGTACCTTCTAGTGGGGCTACCCAACAAGGACGCCGCTCGCACTGAGAGCCCGTGCTTGGCCGTTACTGTCGCCATTGTGCTTGCTCGCTGTGGACCGGCTAATAAACGCCTTAACAATATATATATATATATATATATATATATATATATATATATATATATATATATATATATATATATATATATATATGCAATGACTGGTGCTCATCTGCTCAGTGACCGCGGCAAGGTCTTTCTTTTATATACCGGGTGTTCAAAATTAAGCTTTATGATTTTTTTAAAATTAGGCGCTCGAAGGCACGTGAGAACCACTTGTGCAAATAAGTTAAGCGGCCAGGGGGACAGAAAGTTAGATGATAATTATCGCTGTCAGCAGCCCAATTAACTAAAATTTAATAATTAACTTTTTACTGGCTGCGGTAAGTTGGCATGTTTATATTGAAAAAATGTAGGCAGTGGTGTTTGTACACAGTTTCAGTTGGAAGATTTTTTCTAGCACGCCTGTGTTCCGAGATATCCGGCTCCAAAGTTTAATTGTCTTTCGCACGATTACGCATGCAAGAGGGTGAGGGTCCGCGCAAAGCTCCTCCCTAAAGTGACGCATCTGTTGCGTGTGGTGTTTAGTGTGTGAAGAGGGTGGAAGCGTAGGCATAGGTGATAGCAATTACCCTTGCCCTCTTCGGCCGGCGAAATCAAAAATCGAAGAACGCTTGCAACCAGTGTCGTAACACGCAACTGCAGAGCCTCTAACGATAGTGGCAGATACCATGCCGAGATAATGGTGCGAGCGGAGAATCTGGATGCCAGTGCGCGTGCGTAATAATCACTAGAGAAGCATGCGTGGTCGTTGCCTGGGCTACGCGAATAGCGTGACTGCTGATGTCCGAGTACTGTAACTTTTATTGAAACAAGAGCAACAACTCCACCAATAATAACTGAAACAGTTTTATCCTTGCTAACGCATATTTCCTGCTGCTACATAAGCATATTTCGGTCATGCACAAATCTCATCGAAACTCTTCACCTCTCAAGACGTCAATGCCCCAAAAAGTGTTCAAAATGCCTGCCTTCGGCAGCAACGCAAAGCATGAACCGCTGTCGCGTCGACTCGATGACTCGGCGCAGTACTTCTGCAGGAATACTCGCACAGGCAGATGTTATCCTGTCCTTCATGTCATTAACATCGCTGGGCTCTGTTACGTAAACTCGATCTTTAACGTAGCCCCAAAGGAAAAAGTCGAGCGGAGAAAGGTCAGGTGATCTTGGTGGCCAAAACATCGCTCCTGCGCGCCCAATCCACTGTTGTGGAAAACGTCTGTCCAACCAGTTCTTCGCCCTGGTAGAAAAATGTGGTGGTGCTCCATCGTGCTGAAACCATACTTGGCGCAGGTCATTCAGGGAAAGACTGCAGACAAGATCATCAATGACAACACCTAATATTTCTTCTGTGTACATCTTTCCGTTCAAGTTGTCCTCAAAAAAGTGAGGTCCGATGATCCTGTCCCCGAGTATGCCGCACCACACATTCACACTCCAGCGAACTTGATGCTTGTGCTGCCTCAGCCAGTGTGGGTTTTCTTGTGCCCAATAATGGGCGTTGTGAAGATTAACACTTCCATTTCGGCAAAACCGAGCTTCATCAGTCCAAATTATTCTGTGCAAAAAGTCATTTTCTTGATCAGTTTTGATGAGGCCCCAATTGCAGAAGTCAACTCGCCTTTCAAAGTCCGCCTCATTTAGGTCCTGATGAAGGTAAACGTGATATGGATGGAACTTGTGCTTTCTTAAAACATTTGTGACTGTTCCGATGCTGCGACCGCACTGATCGGCAATCTGTCGGATGCTGAGCTCTGGCATCGAGGTTACGCACGCGACAACGTCGATTTCAAAGTCTTCATCGACGATTGCCTTCCTGGTCCGTCTCGGAAGGTGGACAGAGCCTGTTGTGCAGAAGCGTCGAAACAGGTTTGTGAAAGTGGGCCTTGTTGGAAGGGGACGGTGTGGGTGGCGAGACGCGTAAAGCTCCATTGCTAACGAAGCGTTGCCATTCATTTCAGCCATTGCAAGCACCACGTCTACTTTTACTTTGGTAGAATACCTCACGCCAGAAGCAGCCATATTAGCTCGAAAGGACTCCACGTGGATTTCCTTGGTAGACCTTCAATGCAGAGACGCTGTGCTCTAACCGGAGGCACCCTAGTGCAGGACGGTCCTGCTAACGCGTTCACAAGAAGATGTCTCAGTGTGATCTAAAGTCACGAAAAAACGTCGCGAAAAATGGTCTCCTGTTATCGCGTTCATCAGGATCATGCGTAAGGCTCATGGCGCACCGCGCTGTCACATTTTGATTTCGCCGGCCGAAGAGGGCAAGGGTAATTGCTATCACCTATGCCTACGCTTCCACCCTCTTCACACACTAAACACCACACGCAACAGATGCGTCACTTTAGGGAGGAGCTTTGCGCGGACCCTCACCCTCTTGCATGCGTAATCGTGCGAAAGACAATTAAACTTTGGAGCCGGATATCTCGGAACACAGGCGTGCTAGAAAAAATCTTCCAACTGAAACTGTGTACAAACACCACTGCCTACATTTTTTCAATATAAACATGCCAACTTACCGCAGCCAGTAAAAAGTTAATTATTAAATTTTAGTTAATTGGGCTGCTGACAGCGATAATTATCATCTAACTTTCTGTCCCCCTGGCCGCTTAACTTATTTGCACAAGTGGTTCTCACGTGCCTTCGAGCGCCTAATTTTAAAAAAATCATAAAGCTTAATTTTGAACACCCGGTATATATATATATATATATATATATATATATATATATATATATATATATATATATATATATATATATATATATATATATATATATATATATATATATATATATATATATATATATATATATAACATAACATTTACAGCAAAGTCATGCGTAAGCTTTTTCTTTAGTTTTCAGTGTGGAATACATACGTATCTGCTATAAAATAGTTTTCGCACACTCTAGCTTGAACGTACTGTACTCAAAGGCCACCTCTCGCTGTGGCTCTTTTCACAGCCGCAGTCCACCTCATTTTTCTTTCTTCGTTCCATGGTAATCGATACACGCCGTATGCCTTTCACGCTCGGATTGGAGCAGCCAACGGCTCAACAACCGACCGAAGGACGAAGATAAACCCCGAATAATCTGAGGGTTGCGGCGAAGCGGTTCGCAGTCGTCTACTTTTCTCGAACTGGAAGGCGTTAGCAGACGGTGCATCTCACAATCCCTCGCTCTTTTACTGGTCACCTATTGAGGATAGCAGGTGGACGGCAAGCAATGAAGAGAGGAGGAAGGGGTGTTGACAGGCTGTGAGGGGCGATCGCCCTTACCGCCTTCTGGATTTGCCACTGACTTGATCCATGGGCTTCTATGTAAGTTACTCTACCAATTAACGTATACCTTGGTTGTGGCGTGAACGAAGGCAAGTAGTCAGCTTCTTCAAATTGACGCTCTTTATTTAACCGAAAATTCACGGCCGCAAAACGGAATCAAATCACACCAAGAGATACGCCGCACACTGATATTGACGCAGAGAGCGCCGGTCGTCGATAAACTGATCGGTGGGACGCGCCGTCTTATATACATCACTCACCAAACTGGCCAGCCTTATTACTGGTGGTCGTGCAAGCTCTGGAATAGGTCTGACTGTTGGCGTCTATAGATTGCGCGCAATCTTACCAAAAATGATCTACTGGAGTCGTGAAGCTTTTGGAACACCGAGGCGCTGTATGCGCAGAGCGCTGCTGACAGGCATTGGGGGCGGAAACTCAATAAAAAAAAACTAATTGAAACAGCCGTGAGCGGAAATATGTACACCCTGCTCGAGAAAGCTCGAGTGCACCGCCGAACCTCGCGTCGTGGCAGAGTATACGTATAGGCTACGAATTCAATCAGTTTATTATTATCATGTCATAAAAGGATGTTACAGGGAGTAAAATATACAGACGCGGGTCCCATAGCCTGCTGCGAGCGCATCGTGCCAACTCGACGTTAAGCGCTGAGCACAGTGCGCAAGCATCAAATGAGAAAAAAAATGAATAATCAAGCGAACAACTTCCAAGCGCTATGCGATTTCGGCAACATGCGAGAGAAGATGTGAAATATCTTTAGTCCGACCGTAAAGTGAACATTATCAGCAATATTCGCACATAATGGTGAGCAAAAAATGAAGATATGCAGCCTACCGTTGCATTTTTTAGGTGCGAAGCAGCTTTTGCTCGGGGATGTGTCCGTCCCTCGGCGACAGTCCACACCTCCACTGCGCATGCGCCAACTCTTTTCACTCTCCTCCGCTTCGTTTATCCTCTCCGGTTCATCTCGCCGCAGCTGCTGTGTGCTCGTATTATATATATATATATATATATATATATATATATATATATATATATATATATATATATATATAGGCGCTGCGTCGCGCTCCCTCCCGGGCTTCAGAAATTAGGCGCCTTCTTATAAAGTGCGTATCGCATGACTGAATCCTTCGTAGCTCAATTGTGACGAGCATTCACGCGTTATCCCAAGGTTGAAAGTTCGGACCCTGCCGGCTGCAAGCTGTTTTTTCGTCCACCTTACTTTCTTCTCATCATTATCACAATTACTACATCTACCACACCACTATTATTGTCCTCCTTACCTTTCTTGGCTTCATCATCTTCTGGTTTTGATTAAGATTGGGCCAAAGAAACAAACCAAGCCCTCAAAATTCCCTTCATTTATTAACGCAAGAAGTAATTTATTTACCGTAATTTTATTACTGCCAAGTCTGCAAATAGGCCAACTCGACCGAATACTGGAGCTTCACGCACCCATGCGAGACAGGGCTGCCTGTATCAGTTCCAACGCAGCTTCGCTCGTCCTTCCGGTGAGCGCCCGCACCCTTCTGACGAGGTCCGCACTCGTTCGCACCTTCTTCAGCGCATCCGCACCTTCGACGTCACCAGCCGCACACACAAACTCAGCCGCCTTCTCGTGTAGATGAACGTTCCTCCTCAGAAGTCCCTCCATCTCGAGGACACCCTCGACGTCATCATCCGGGTCCCAGGAAACCATAAGCTTTGTCACAACGTAGTTCGTTCTGAGACCCCGCAGTATGCTCCCTAAGATGTCCGCCGTAATTCCCCAGTACTGACAGACGGCGATTTCGTTCAGAACGTTGTTGACGGCCAGAAGGTCGGACAGGGACGTAGCCACTTCCGGCGTCAGAACGTCAACAAACATGTCGAAGGAGTTGACGGTACGGTTCTCCCTCAGGGCGTCCAGAACTTTGACCAGCTGATGCTCGTTGCCCGGTTTGACGAACATGAGGTTCTGGACTCTCTTGAGCGTCGTCGTCCTTTTCACGACCGAGGCGATGCCATCCGCTAGTTCGTCGAACGCGTCGTCACTGGGGTAGAAATGGAGCACAGTGACCGAAGTGCTGGAAGCCACGGAGTCGAAGAAGTCACGCAGGACGTCCCGGTCCACCGAAGCGGTGACACTGAGCGAAAGCTTGGGCCAACACGCCTTCTCGTGGACGAGCCTAATAAGCAGGGGCAGGAGTTTCTCAGTCCACACAATGCGGAACCTCTTGAAGACACCCGCGTTGCCGTACTTCTCTAGCAACGCTGCCGTTTCATCGTCTTCTACGAAATGCGCGTCAAAAATGTCCACGACCTCGAGCGTAGAGTTCACTGTCAGTAGCTCCGCGAACGCGATGATCGTCTTGGAAGAAAACTTCACCTGCGCCAAGGTGAACTTCTTGAGCGTGTCGTTCAGCTTTAGCGCTTCGATGAGCGCTGCAGCACCGTCGTCGCCACCGCAGGAGTACCACAGGCGGAGCTCCTTCAGTTTTTTGTTTCCTCGTAGATAAGTCGCAATGTCATCAGCAACCGCAGTCCCCACGCTTTCGCAGCGCAAGTCCAACAAGCTCAGGTTGCTGAACACTCCGGAAAATTTAACGCTGAAATCTTGCCCTCCACATTCAATGGCACGCAAGTGAAGTTCTTCTAGCAAAGGACATTCTTCGAGGTCTTTAAATGCAATTTTGAATGCACTGAACGGCATATTCCATATGCACAGCTTTCTCAAGGACCGACTCGTGCTCAACAGACGCCCAAGCACAACGGCATCGTTCTCAGAGATCTCCCAATATTCGAGCGCTGTTTCGGGTGGCAAACAGACACTTCCTGCAAGCGCGAAGTTGTTGAATAGGACATTGTGCTCCAACCCTTTCTTGAAGAGCTCACTGACTTCAATGTCTTGGCATTTGCTATCGCTTTCAGCTTTCTCGGACATTTTAACAACAGTATCGTTGAATTAAAAAAAACTTCTTTGTTTTACACGAAAAGTCAATGAATAGATATTGGCTCAGTAAATCTTGATCACGCTAACGGAGGCAATGTGTCACCGAGAGGTTGCTCCTGGAACACCTGCTGCCTTTCAGATAATGACAGGAAACGATGACGCAATGTGGGTGCCCAGCTTATGAGAACTTGTCAGCTGCGGTCAGCTCTTCTTCAAGTGCAGAAAGAGTGGCGAGACCTGATGTAGATCGGAACCAGAGTTCTGCACAACGACCGTGTTCATTGAGGGCTTGTATGTGGCAAGTTAGGAAACCTCGGGGAAACCTATAGATGCAGAAAAGAAAAAAAAAGACTGAAGGCACAGGCAGGCGCGTAGTCAAAACTTTTTTTTCTGGGAAGGGGCGGCACCACTTTGATTTCGATAGGGGTAAAATGGCCATTTCTCGCTCTCTATTTCATGGCGCAAAAAAATGGGGAGATGGGCAAGGCACGTGCCCGGTGTACCACTCCCTGGCTACGCCCTCAGGCACAGGTGAATCCCGATAATACTAGCGAGGAAACTTCTGCGTATAACCAAATCAAAACAAGGCACCGAACCACCAGCAGTTTCTCATTCGAAATACTCCATCACTTTCTGTAGATGTTCTTGACGTCTTGTGCTACGGTAACCTGAAGTAATTGTCTATGTTGGTGGAGGCACGGCATAAATGTTGTAGTGACAGAATGCAAGTGCATTTCCGCATGTTTCATTCGAGCAGTGTACTCAGATGTCTAGAACAAAATTATCTGTTGAATTGCTGTGGGAAATTCGCTTCATGTTTATCAGTTTCTTCGCATACAACATCGTCAGTGGTGCATTATATTCAAGAGTCCATAGTTTCTAAATCTGACAGGGGAACACATACATGTTAAGTGTCCAGATCAGGACAAAGAGGGAAGAATGCGTTCATAAATATGTTGAAAAATAAAAAGGTAGCGATAACACTAGAGTAAAAAATGCACAAAATGAACTAAGGCATATATATATATATATATATATATATATATATATATATATATATATATATATATATATATATATATATATATATATATATATATATATATATATATATATATATGAACACAATAGAATTAACCAAACATACGTAACGATTGGAGCCATGAAACAAAAGTAAGGTGAAAAGAATACATGTAGATAAAATAATCTATTCCAGAGGTACTGGCGACCAGCAAACCAAACACGTACAGTAACAAAAAAATGTTGTAAGGAACAAATCCTAATAAACGCAAGAAAGAAAAAGAATGCAAAAATTGCAAACAAGAGCAGCTACTTAGGCGAATTGTTTAGACAGTATTTATTTCGGAGGCACAGAATTCATGTACTGGTGGCGATTATTTAATTTTTTATAAATATCAAAATAACACGCACGAAGAGAACTCAGTTAATTTTTTTACAGTTTGTTCAAAGGAGGGAAACAAAAAGGAAATTATCACTCAGACCCCATCATTTTGTTTAGCCGGAATCGGGATGCTACAGTGTTTAAGCTTAAAGATAAATAGAGATGGATTCTGTTCAAGCGAGTCTATTAGTGTTACGATATCAAGACTTGATGAGGATCGAGGGCGTGAATAGATTGACGATGCCAACTCAGTCACTCTCTGACCTCCCACAATTTAAGCTTGGGGAAATATCGAGAAATAAGATCAAAAATAAGTGGCGATAATTTTCTGCTACATATAAGTACCTTCGTTTCTCACAACGAGTGCACTATATCAAAAAAAAAAAAACAGGCAAGAAATTGTTTTCCTACTCAAAATATGAGCGAGTGTGTCTAGCAAGAAAAATATCGACTGCCACGCCACACAATGACAACAACAGAAATGCCGCGCAGACTCCCGAGACTGCCTGCTTGCTATACTATGCTTCTTTTTCAAACTATATGCCTGTACATATGGCATTTTATAACAGGCAAGAGATCACTAGAGATGTTGAAACACCGACATATGTAAGTAATCGAACGGGAACAACACAATTCAAATCGTTCTAATTGCCGTTACTTCAACAGGTTCAATTCGTAAACCGGAAAAGCAGATACGAAGAAAAAAAAACGAAGATAATGGCTAGTACGAGCAGACGACGCGACAAAAAGAAAACGAAAGTTACTCGAATTTGCGTAAGCGCAACAAGTACACAGATTGTCAGTAACAAATAATGTTACTTACGACAGGCTCCAGATGAGATGGGCAGTTTGCAGAACCAGTTTGACGCCGCTCTGCTCCAGAATTAGCCTTCACAGTTCTCAGATGTGACGCACGCCGCAGATGTCGTGGGCAGAGCGGAATCGGAGAGTTACTTGAGGCGGGATTGACATGCTACGTCACAATGTCGTTACAGCCTAGATGTTGAACTTGACTGCTGCTTACCGTTCTACGAAAGTCACCGATAAGTGAGTATCGATAAGAGAGTTGAGTCACGCGGGACACTGCAACATTCCGTGAGAGGCATGCGCATTGACCAGCGTTCACGCAATCGCCTAGTTTCTCAGCACGCCGCTTTGCTAAAAATAGCGCAAAAGTAGCTTGCAAAACGAAAGCAGTTTCGGTTTTGGTGTCGTTCTTGCTGAGTGCTTGTTTCGTAATCGTCGCAAGGTTGTAGCTATAAAATGCTCGTCGACGCTTTTTTCTTTTTCTTTATCAGCAACTTCATTTCGTTTAAAAGATTTCCTTCTTCATATATACTTGTTTCAACTGAGAGCGTTCCTTTGCACTGCGTAATAAGCAATGTTGCTATTCGGATCAAATTTTCTAACCGTCCACCTAATCCCGTAATTTAGAACTTTTTTGACAGAAAGTGGTGACACACAGACTGACACAGAGAATAATTACAGCGCCCTGATTGTCTAAAATTTCATAACACATTGAATTCATGACACAATGCATAAATTTCCCGCCTTCCTGTAGCCCCTCCTCACCTACCTTCGAAGGAACTCCAGCAAGGCGGCAAATTTATGCATTGTGTTATTATCTACGTTTTATCTATCATCTTTGGGAGGATAGGGGAGCTATGGAGGGGTTTTTCTTCCATGGCCTTCACTGGCACCACCCCAAGTGTTTCACCATAGTGTTTCACATACCAAAATTATTTAAAAAGAAAAAAAACAAAAGCACAAGGTTAACAGCACCTGAATGAAGACATGTCATATGCTGGCCCTCATGTCGTGCTCGTATCGGTAGAGGTGAAATTGCTGTTGGCCCGTGTGATGAGCTTTGGGTGCTCGTGGTCGAAACCCCAGGTGGTCGGAACTTTCGGAGCCCTCTACTATGGCGTCTCTCTTAGACACATGGTGGTTTTTGGACGTTAAACCCCACATATCAATCATGTTGTACTCATAAGGGTTGATTTCGCCTATTTCGTTAGTTAACTACGGTCAATGCAAAATTTTGAACGAGGCACTCGATACACTTCAGGGCCAAGGGCGTTTCGTTGCGTTGTGGAGGACATTTCAAAACGACAGACCCAAATTTTTGTGGTAACGAGCACATTGCGCGGTGATCTTTTCCTGCGCCCGAGAAATACGCAATGAAACCGCGTGACTGCGTTTGTGAGCTGCCGTAATGCAGTGCTCTCAACCATGTCTCAGTGAGAAACAGTCGTGCCTCAAGGGGCATCTGGCACGATAAAATGTAGACGGCCTTATATGACGTACTTACGAATGACTGTATGTGTTTACTCCCATACAGCCATTACGCACGTATTGGCAATCTCATGGTTCCTGTGATTTAGACTGACTAACCTTGTATTGCTTAACTGTTTACGTGATATGCCTAGTGTTAGCTTAGTTCGATGCTAATGTCTGCTGGTAAAGATGCATATGTTGGCTAACGCAGGATAATGTTCACCAACTCTGAGCTGAGTGTTGGATAGTCTTGTAATGACGGCTAAATACTACACGGAAAAATCTTTGCTGATTTCTTCGTATTACACCAATCCCCATGGTGCTATACAGGAATCGACAGGTATTTTTCTTTCCTCGGTTGCTTGCCAGTGTTCTGTTACTTCATTGGTTGCATTTTTTTCTTACCTAATTCTCGAGCTACGCGTGAAGTATCTTTTTTTTTTTTTCATTGCAAGCGATCTTAGAGAGGATTTCTGTGCTTCGATTCCGACTTTCTTTGCAAGCTCTCAATTGGGGCAAGTACGCATTATGGATGTGGTGGCCTTATCATCCACCTTTTCCTCCCTTCACCCCGACTTTCCTTTCCCAGTCCCACTGTATAAGACCATGTTATACTTTACCCTCTCACCTCCTCATTCACCTAATACTCACCATCCCCTCCTTTCCGACCTCTCGATAAAATACTATTCTATACACGGCTATGCCTGCAGGCTCTCTCTTTATTGTCTGTGTGCATCCCTTCCTTTACCTCTTTGCCTCTTTTTTCTTCCTCACTTTTTTTCTCTCTCTGTCTTTTCTTCTCTCTCTTTATCTCTATGTAGTCTTACTCTAGATATAGTACTATGTTATACGCGTTATACGTGGTTATGCCTGCTCTCTCTCTCTCTCTTTCGTCTACTTTGTGTCGGTTTATTTCTGTATCTTTCTGTGACATTCCCTCTCACTATTTCTTTCTTTTTGTATCTCTCTTTCTCTTTTTTTCACTTTATTTCTCTGTATTCGTTCTCTCGCTCATCACAGTTGTCGCATCAGAAGCCGGACAAACCAATCAGGGCATATGCGTTTTAGCAGTGAAGCAGAAGGTGAAAAACGGGACGAAGAAGGCGTGTGCCGGTTTATGGCAGTTTTCATGTCACAGCACGTGCCATAACGAACGGATTAGCAGCGCTTTAGCAAAGTAAATAATCTGTTGCCTACTAGAATTTTGTAAACACTGAGGAGTACGAAGAAAAAAATTCACGCATATTCACGAAATAGATGCAGATAATGGATACTAAGGTCCAAAATGTCTTCGCACCTGCGCTTCGACTGTGCACGGCGCCCGGACAAATTGAAGCCGGATGGACATCGTGAGATCTTAAGAAGATTCGCCCTTAAAAACGAAACGCTTGACAACTAATAATGTGCGCAAGCAAGTGGGACAGCTCTCATGCGATCGCAAAAGCACCCGCCTCCAAAACCAAAAACCGCTGGCGTCTTGTAACGCGAGCGATTGCAGCGCTAATTTATACACGGCGGGGCACCGGCAACACAAGCGTTCGCGCAGCACACGCGCACTCGCTTTTCTTGCACTATGCTTTCACTCAATTTTGCTGGAGAAGTTACGCCCTTGCCCGCAATCCTTTTATGTACTTTTTTCGTTGCTCAAAGGCAGCTGACTGTGTGCATTGAAACGAAGCCTTCGTGGTGACCTAGCGCGTCAGTGTCGATTAGAGTGACTCCCATTCCATCTCGGGGTCGACGATTTTACTACGCTAGTCCCGCACAAGGCTTTTCGACGGCCCTCGCTCCCGCCTCGTGAACGACTTCGTATCGCTCGAAGACTTTCGTATGTAGCTCTCGTAGACATTGCATGCTTTCTGGACTTGTACCGCCAGCATTTACCGCAGCTTGGATTCGCTTACTGCATCTTTTGTAGCCTCCGTTGTGTCGTCTGCTGCTAACCGCTTCTTTCCTTCGCACACCTACTCATTACGCAGGGGCAGGGCATGCTATTTCCTCAATGACATTTGTCTCAATAACTCCCCCAGAGTCGCCTATTTTGTACTTCCATGCAGAAACATTCCAATGTAACGCTGGAGTGTAGTATCGCGGTAATTCTTGGGGCGTCTATGTATGTGAGTGTCGGTGGTGTCGATTTCGTCTGCCAGAAAAGCGTAGTAGCGCACATCGATTAGTAGAGAAACGTTTGTTGTTTTGTCAACTGAACCCGAAGCGCGACGCCACTGTAGAGCTTCCTTTCCTCGTATTTCTAAGGCTAAATAAATATTTGATTCTCACACCCCCGTCGTTGATATCCGTTAACTTTATGTCCGAAATCGACCAAAACTGCCATAGCTTGTGCTGCTGTTATTTTCTTTTTCTCTGCTGCTACAAGTCCCTGATCCTGTTTCACTTCGCTTTGTTGAAACTCTGGGGTTGACCGCGCGAGAACGGCGATGTAACATGTCTCGCCGCAGCTGAATGTTCCGTATGAATTCTGACCGCCCCGTGTTCTCTGCGCCTCTAAGAGCGAGGGTCCCTTCGCAGGGAGGCAGCTATAGATGGAATTCAAACTCGCTCCGTCTTGCGTTGCTTGCGTGAAACTACAACCGCCGAGTTTTGTCGTGGCGTGTACTTTAGCATGTTTGACGGGGACGTGTGCGTGTGTTTATGTCTGCTTCAAGTAAACCTGCAAGAGCGATTAAATCATATCAATACTTGATCAACGTGTTTAGCGTTTCGAACATGTGCGTGTACAGAATATTCCATAAAAAAAAAAAAAGGAAGGACGGCGATTGGTTGGCGATGGGACGAGAAAGGTGCGACAAAGCCGACGCCTTCTGTTCTTTTCTTTCTTATCCACGTCCAATGCTGGAGTTCAAATACATGCGTTATCGATTTATAGTGGTTTGAATTGTGACTCAACCAGTTATCACAAGCACGTGTAAACGAAGGCAAGAGTTATTGCGAATGTATTACAATAAACGCCGGTGTTTGCTACCTCCACTTTGCGAGAAGGTACAGAAAGGCAAGAAGTTAAAGAACGGACATCCGAGCTCATGGTCACGTTTACCACGCAAGCACCAATTAAATCTAAAACTTAAATTTAATTTCTTGATGAGCTGTAGTAGTACATGAATTAGTTTCCCGGTCATGTGGCTTTAGGTCGGGGGTCATAAATCTATATGAAAAAGAATATGCTGGTGGTTGTCACACGGCCTGCTCATTCGGGCAGCACAGATTGGCATGTAATCTTTCAAATGTGAACATTTCTTAAAAGACCAAAAATATTTCGAGGGTATCTATCTATCTATCTATCTATCTATCTATCTATCTATCTATCTATCTATCTATCTATCTATCTATCTATCTATCTGTCTATCTATCTATCTGTCTATCTGTCTATCTGTCTATCTATCTATCTATCTATCTATCTATCTATCTATCTATCTATCTGTCTGTCTGTCTGTCTGTCTGTCTGTCTGTCTGTCTGTCTGTCTGTCTGTCTGTCTGTCTCCAGCTGCATACATATTGCTGGGCGCCCCGTAGTGACCTTAACATGATATATACCGATATTGGCATAGGAGTGCGTCAGTGCATGATGAAGGATATATTCATTGGTCACGACAAGAATAACGTGCCATGCCTGTCGCGTCTGTTGTGAAACCTGTTCCCCCGGTCACTCTTGGCGCATACCCGCATACCATGGCCCGTGGCATACGGGTGTGCCCCACAAGTGAAACTAAAGAACAGCGAAAATAGGCATTGAAGGGGCTATGATCAACGATAACAATACTCGTCGCACTATTACGTGCCATAACCACGATATGATTACGATCCGCACCGCAGTTGCA